TGTTCTAGCCGAGCTACTAGATTCGCTCATGGTGCCTGCTAAATGCGCTCTAGCAGACGACGTCCTAGCCGCGCTACTAGTTCCTCTCAAGGTGACTGCTAAACACTCTCTAGTAGACGACGTCCTAGCCGCGCTACTAGACTCGCTCAAGGTGACTGCTAAACACGCTCTAGCAGACGACGTCCTAGCCGCGCTACTAGACTCGCTCAAGGTGACCGCTAAACACGCTCTAGCAGACGACGTCCTAGCCGCGCTACTAGACTCACTCAAGGTGACCGCTAAACACGCTCTAGAAAACGACGTCCTAGCCGAGCTACTAGACTCGCTCATGATGACGCCTAAATGCGCATCCATGCTAGATTCCCCATTTGATCAAACCTGACCCACAAATTCACTTAGAGTCCTACGAACTCACAAGTGAACTGGGGGGACTTATTGTAGGAGATGGGTTACACCCCTCCACAAGGCCCATCAAATGGAGAAGCTTAGCCCGATGTGACGATGTACTCGGCCCATTAGACGCGTAAGAAACGCCTCGGCATGGGGGCGCGTCTAGTAGCACGACTAAGAGCGCTCCGGATGAGTCAGCAGAAGCACGCTTTACCCGGGCTACTAAACGGGCCCAACGAGAATAAAGCCCAACAAGGCTCGGGTAAACTAGGGCGAACAGGAAGATAAAGTCTATAAAAGGAGAGAGGCAACAACGAGAAAGGGGAGACACTTGAACATACTCACTAGGCGGCTAGATCTAGGGTTTCATAGAGACTAGGTGGTTAGATCTAGGGTTTGCTTACCTTCACCGATACTCACCACTTTGTAGTCTTCCGGTCTGCTCTCCGAGCTCCGGCTAGATCACCTCTTTACTCACCTCCTTGTAATCTCTTGTTTTAAATCTAATAAAGAGCGTCTTTGTTCGCCCCAATCTCTCTCTTTATATTGTTCTTAACCATTTTCACCTCAAACAGCTGAGTACCTAAACTTAGACTTTAAACTAAGGAACCCATCAAGCAACCGAATCAAATGAGACTGAACCATCAGATGTGAGAGAGAAGAACAGAGTTAAGTATATATATATAAACCTTTAGGCCATTGAGAAATGATTTTCTCTTTGAGAGAAGAGACGGTCACAGATGGACTGTACTTGCTGGGACCTGTGTCGGTGCCATCTGCGAGTCTAAACTTGAGTTCTATCCAATCTTCACCTCCCATCTCTCTATTTTCCCCAGAAACAAGAAAGTTCTAATAGTGGTCTCAAGTTATACTTTGAGCAGCATTTAATTTGTCAAGCGAGATATTCTTCTACCTATTCCACTACCTGAATCCTTCATATGACTTGTCTACCCCTAGCTATTCTCACAATTAAGCTGACTTTTCTTATTGATTAGTGATAATTTGTAACAAAAAATGAAAAATGTATAGTTAATATGCTTGTGAATTAGCCTAAATTTTTTAATGGTACTGATAAATATATATATATATATATATGTTTAACCAGACAAGAATATATTCGTTATATCTATAATGCAAATAATATTAGACCATCTCCAAAGGCATATCTAACCCACTTCTAAGTGAGGTTCTATCTAATTAATTGGGTTTTATTTAAATGAAAAACATGAAAATTAGTTAGAGTAGGCTCTAAATGTAGAGGCTTCTGGAGACATCTCCAAAGACATGTGCCATTGTGTAAATGGTTGAGAGTTTTAAAGAGGAAGAAAAAAATTTGGACCGATTTCTTTTCTTTTCTGTTTCTGTTTGGCGGAATTTTTTTGTCTCTCTCTTCTTGGGTGTACGAGAGAGACACACACTCAATCTCCTCCATCGTCAAATCATTCACCATGCTTGCTTAAACACCTTCATCAAGCTCCGATTCAACTCGAACGATCCCCCCGATTCAACTCACTCAGCTTCAGATTTTGAGCGTAATGGAGAAGACTCCACCTCCTAATGACCTGCTGAAGAAGATACTCGAGCTAGAGGAAAGCCAAGAGCATCTTAAGCAAGAGATGTCGAGGCTCAAGGTATCCTCTGAGATCAGGCAACGATCGCATTCCGTCTCGCCGCATCGTCCTGCGAGGAAGAGCGGCGCCGCCTCATTTCCGCAGAGCAGCCGTCTCCATGGTCCGATCAATCTGAGAGGTGGAGGAGGAAGGGGAACATCGGCGGGGAAGTTTACTGATAATCAGTATTTGAATATTTTGCAATCAGTGGGACAAACTGTTCATGCTTTCGATCTCAATTTGCGAGTTATCTTTTGGTAAGTAGTTTGATTTTAGGGTTGATAAGATTGTAAATTAGGGTTCTTGGTTTAAATTTGAAATTAGGGTTATTAGCATCAATAATTAAGATATTTATATGTTATTAGCTATCATCAACATCATTCTTTCATTGTAAGATTTTGTTGATACTTGAATCCGATCTCTTGTTGTGTTTTATAGTTTTTTATTTTGCTTAAGTCTCCATTAAAATTGATGATGTCTATAATTTCTGTGTGAATTGAACTTTACGAACAAGTTTTTTTTACTAATTGACGCAATTACATTTAGCTCAGTTCCTTTTACAAAGTTATGTTAATGTTACATTCAATTCTCTAGTTTAAGTAGACAGAACTCTGTGCAAGTGGATTAAATTTTGAGGTTATAAAACTTCTCAGATTAATTGTTTCTATACATCTCTTGTTTTTGTATTTTGTCATTTTTCTTGTATCGTCTCATACTGATCCTGTAAAGAAAAAACATTTGTAGAGTTTCAACGCAGTTCAAAAGCTACTAAGCAAAACCAATGGGAAGCTTGTTGGACATTTAATGACACCAGCTCCAGTTGTTGTTGAGGAAAATACCAACCTCGAAGATGCTGAGAAGTTATTGTCTTGTCTTTATTTTCTTTTATCTTAACATATTCTTCTCTAACTTAATCTTGTTGTTGTTTTGTTTCTCACTAGAATATTACTGGAGACCAAGTATCGCCGGCTCCCTGTGGTAGATTCTGATGGCAAATTGGTAAGAACATCTACTTTTTATATATTCGTCCAAATAAAAGGTTGGTATAATCACAAGAGGAAACGTGGTTACCATGTTATATATCATGAAGAATGATACCCTTGGTCACATATATAATTTAATTTACTGAGACTGCCTCTTTAAAATCGCAGACGAGTTCAATGTTGCAGTAGAGAGGTTGGTTGTTAGTTGGTTGTTAGATGGCCAAGGTAAGTGTGTATGGTCTCTCTCTCTTTTCCTTTTCTGTTTTCTTTGTAATTTACTTCTCTGCGAAAGTCACATCAGTTTCTTGCTAAGTTCTTGATATAGCAGTAAATGAAGGCTTAAGAATAAGCTTCTGTTTTCTTACCTCATTGATGATATAGATAGTGCCCTGGTATACTTGGCATTACCAGTATTACGTTAGAATAAGTTCCTTTTTTTAATTTCGTTGGCTAAGCTTCTGTTTTTAATGTTTGGTAACAACTAGCTTTTATTGGTAGTTTGCTTTTATTGGTTTAGATTAGGCAAATCTTTATTGCTTTTAATGTTTGGTAACACCACTCTCTCTTTCTCCTTTCTTTAATTGTTATAAACGACACCTTTCTACTTATTTGGATCTCTCATTCTCTCATTCTCTCATTCTCAACCAAAAAATAGGAATGGACTCTTCAAATCCATTCACTCAGCCTTCTACTTATTTGGATCTGTTAAGTAGCCAACACTATGAACCCCTCTCACCAAGCGTAGCTGTAGGATCTCAGTGGACAGTAGCTCCAAGCCAAGATGAAGAGACAACTGAAGAGAGAAAAGGGAGAAAGAATTGGTCACAGAAGGAAGATTTGGTACTTGTAAGTGCTTGGCTTAACACAAGCAAGGATCCGATTATAGGGAATGAACAAAAGGGTGGCTCCTTTCTCAATCTATGTTCTATGTTTTTTTTATGTCAACTTAATTTAAATTCTATGTAATTCAATAATTATAAGTTTTATATAATGGAGTGTGATGCAAGTAATTTTTTTTATGACAAATTTTCAAATTTTTGAAATTTAGAACTCTTGTTTGGTTCTACCATTGGAAGAGTAAAATCTCTACAAGTATCTAAATTTTGTTTTTTGATTAATTTAATTAAAAAAGTGATTTAGATCTCAAATGAAGGTTCTATTGTTGGACTTGCTCTTATAAGCCTAAACTCTGGCCATGTTGTACAGTAACGAAGTATACAAGTGGATTTCAATTATTTGATTTATATTTAAGTGGGTACTGATACTCTTCACAATTAATTTTTATAAGAAAATAATTTGTTATTTGTGGGTTCCCCTTGCCCCCACCCCCGCATATTATCTCAATTATGTAGAATTTTGTTCCTTTAGTACGTTATGATTTGTAACAAGGAGGTGTAATTCAATAATTTTTGGATGAGCAAACATATTCTAGTTCCCAAATGGTTAGAAAATGGCAGCCACCAACTATTGCTCAATGGCAGCCACCAACTATATATATAAGCCTAACTACTTTAAGTCTTTACTTAATTTAAGAGCTGGGAGTATTTAATAACATCATACCCTCCTCCTACCTCATAACATAGCAACGTAAGAGCATAGTTACATACTTACATAACATTATATTGCATATGCTTACATGCCAGCCAAAGCCAGAAGAAGTATTATAAATCTTAGGAAAAACATATCATAAAACTTCAATCATTTGCTTTTGGCTGCACACAGAGACTATCAGTGCCACACAAGAAATGTGCAAAGAATCATTGCTTTTCATATATCTATAACTTGGCAGCTAACAAGTTCAGCAGCACCTAAGTCCTTACTCCCTTTGCAGGCCAACCTTGACCCATACCAGACGGCATCTCACCCCAAAGACTCGTCCCCGGATCATAAAACTTTCCTCCAGCATCAAAAAAGAAAGGACAAGAGTATAAACTCTGAGTAACACATAGTCTACCGTTGTAACAAGTCATCCCGGTAACAATAGGCTTCAACAAGTCAGCCAAGAACTCGTTAGGCAACACTTGGGCCTTAGAGAAAGGAATGTTCGGAACCTCTGACCAAACATCAGTCTCTGGATCGTAGACCTCAGCTGTCTGAAGCGGATATAAACTTCCACGTCGACTCTCAACACCTCCAACAACATAGAGCTTCTTGTCCAACACTCCTGTTCTGGAATAAGCACGGTTCGCCAACATGGAACTCACTTCACTCCAAGAGTTAAGAACCGGATCAAACCGCTACACAGAGTTCACGGTTTTAGACCTAGAGAGCCCTCCAAGAACATAGAGACACCCGTCAATGAAACCAATAGCACAGCCACAGAAAGGCATTTTCTCAGACTCAGAGTCAGAGGCCACCTCTTTTCTACCGAGTAAGCTCCTCATGAGATTCCACATACTACTTGTAGTAGGTTCCTTTTCGTAAACAATAACAGGCATAGGAGGCAGTCTTTGCCATCTTTTAGAGACTGGATCTAAAGCGTGCAACGAAAGGTTACCCTCTTGGCTTTTAGTCAACAGATAGAGCCATTCCTCTGTTTTTCCAAGCTCTTTCCTTAGAGTAAAGAGCTCAGGGGTCGATAGAGCTGATCTCCACCTCCGTGAAACTAATTGAACATTCGAGTAGCAGATTCTTGGGAGCATAGCAAGAATCTGTAAAGATAACTCATCAGGAAGATTTGGAATCAATCTGGAGTACTCTTGTTCTTTAGATGAACATGTCTTTCTTGTTTCGCAAGATTTGTTTGAGAGTTCCTCTTCCTGAGTTTGTTCTTTCGTCTTGGGACAGCTCAAGCTCATTACAGAACCCATGAGTAAGTAGCTCAAAAAATCAAGAGTCGCTGCAAGGGACAAAAAAAATTAAAATCAAAGAAAGTCTACGATTAGGGCTTATTAGAATCAAGAACACATAAAAGCCTAATTACATACTTAGTGATATGATCTAGAGAGAGATCAAGGAGACAAAGAGAGTTCCAACAGACATGAGAATCTCTTACCGAAGCAGCAAAAGACGAGACGTCGCAGAGTTAGATAGAATCTCTCCCTTACCAAATTCATCTTTCGGACTTTTTTTGGTTCCAAGTTTGAGTTTGGTCGTTGAGTCATTTGACACACGACTTTCCTTTTTAATTTTTTTGTTTTGTTTTGTTGTGTAATTTTAATGGCGACCGTTGGATTGATGACACGATGTGAGATGTATAGGAAGTTAGGTAATCCGGTCTGCTCCTCTTCCAAGTCAACTAATTTTTTTTTTTTTTTTTTTTTGATAACTCAGGTGTCCGGGGCTTATTTAGAGACCCGACTATCTCCTGAAGGGATCCTGAAGGCCAAACGGAAACCATGTTAAATCCGCTGTGGCCGGGACTCGAACTCGTGATGGCGGGCACTTCAGCTGAGGTTCCTTTACCACCAGACCACGAGGCCCGGTTACTAAAATAATTTTTATAGTTGATAATTAATATTGTTGGATGAAATAACAAGCTGTGTTGACAGTAAGCATACTCCTGAATATTCTTTATTTTCTGCTTTAATATAATTAATAATGCACTAATTAATTACTTAAAAACCAAAATTTTATGAACCGGTTTGGTATTTGGTTTGCTCTCGAGCTTCCTCTTCCCGCCAATCTCGCTTATGAACCGGTTGGTATTTTATGAATCATGCTAGTTGTATAACTTAAATCTCTTTTGTTGTTTGAAGACATTGGTCTTTTTCTCTTACATTGTAACTACCTTTCCTTGTAGTCAATGGGGCCGCTACTGGATGGATGAATGAATACTAGACAATGGATGAATACTAAAAATTAAAGATTGATAAGAAAAAAAAGGATGGATGAATATTAGAGGATCATATAGCTGAAATTGAATCTTGATATGTTTTGTACAACTAATAAATAAGATCCATAAGGTTGAAAATTTATTATAGATTTTAGTATGTATAATTTTTCGATGTAATTGTAATTTATATAGTTGTAAAAATTAAATAAAAAAATAAAACAAAAAGATATGTATACATCAATATTTTTTTTTCATTTGAAAAAAACATTCATTTCTTTAATTTTCTAGTTTTAACTTTAAAAATTATTGATGACTTTTATGGTTGTATATAGATTTTAAAACTAATATTCTCTCTACCGCCCAACCAATTATCCATAAAATAACATTTTAATTTTAGAAGAGCTATGTGTACTCCGCTCATTGGATCATTCAGCAGGATTCAAAACCTGCTGCGTAGCCTGTGTGCGTCGGCCCGGCCCATAACTTTCTGAGACTTATTCATGGTATTTGTTCTGGGCCTAAACCCAGTAAGTTCGAGAGGAAAATTTACGTTTTCCCCAAAATCGTCATATATAGAGAATCGGAGCAGGACGGAGTCTGATTCACGATCTATCGAAGCAGCGCGGTGTTGAAAAACCCTAGAGCACATAGGAAATCGATTCATCGTAGTTGCGAGTGATGGATATCGAACTGAAACAAGCGGAGATCATCGATCAGCTCGTTCGCCGAGCTTCTACCTGCAACGGCGAGTCCCTCGTGCCTATCATCATCGATGCTACATCGCATCCTTCTCTCTTCGCTTTCTCCGAGATTTTGGCTCTACCTAATGTCGCTCAGGTTTTGAATGCTTACTGTGACTTAATAATCGACGATCTAGGGTTTCTACTACTTGATTGCTTTAAGAATATTTGTTGTTGAGTTAGCTAGTAATCTAACTAACTCCTGGAGAAATCGCAAATCGCTAGGTGGTGGTTAGACGTCTTATAGAAAATTATTATTGTTTAGGCGGACGCTTAGACTGATTATTGTTTAAGGGGCGTTTAGACCATGATTAACCAGAGCTTTACTGAGTTTCTTAGCTTTGGCTAAGAGACTCTCTTAATATAAGAGCTGTCTACAAGTGTTAAAAAAAAAGTGTCAAATCATGACTTAAGAACCCCGGCTACCGATTATTATTGTTTAGGCGGACATTTAGACCGATTATTGTTTAGGCAAACATTTAGACCGATTATTGTTTAGGCGGACGTCTTATAGAAAATTATTGTTTACGCAGAGGCTTACACCTATTTTTTTTTGTTGCATTGCAGCTTGAAGGAACCTCGAATGCTGTGTACCTGGATGTTCTAAGGTTGTTTGCATATGGCACCTGGGGTGACTACAAATGTAACAACCTCTACAACCTTTTGAATGTTTTATTCAGTATATTTGTGCCAAACTTTCTTACTTTTTTTTTTGGTTTAATAAACGAAACGCGTAGGTAATGCTAGCCGTATCCCACAGCTGTCTCCTGACCAAATTCTGAAGCTTAAACAGCTCACTGTGCTACACTTGCTGAGTCAAACAAGGTATTGTATTGTACCTAGCTTGCTATGTTTTTTGTTTCACCACATGAATCTCACTTTGATTGTTAATGATTAGGTGCTGCCTTATGATGCACTGATGGTTGAGTTGGATGTCACCAATGTTCGTGAACTTGAGGACTTTCTTATCAATGACTGTATGTACGCGGTGAGTGCTCTTTAAGCAAATATCTCTTCTTTTTCTAATGCAGAAGTGTTATACTGAATTTGCTATACAATCTTCCAGGGTATTGTTAGAGGAAAACTGGATCAGTTGAAAAGATGCTTCGAGGTGTGTTGTCTGTCTCGTTCAATCCATGTGCTTTTTGTTTTAACTTTTCTGAGTGTTATATATCTTTGGAAATATGCAGGTTCCATTTGCAGCTGGTAGGGATCTGAGGCCAGGACAACTTGGGAATATGTTACATACCTTGTCTAACTGGTAGTTCCTTTTGACCTAGCTTTCTTCTTCCATTGGCTCTCATTAAACAGTTTGTACCTTGCTTAAGTTTGTACACTGTATTAGTGTAGGTTGAACACATCAGAAAATCTTCTCGTTTCAATTCAAGACAAGATTAAATGGGCGGACAACATGAGTGAGATGGACAAAAAACATCGCAAGGAAACAGAAGGAGTCGAAGAATTGAAGAAGTCTCTGTCCATGAAGGTCAGTGATACGCTTTGGAGGCATAAGGGCTTCACTATTCCCTACTAAATGTATAATGTGACTGATTATGGTTTAGTTTGACTTTGGTTTACATAAAGTTAGAGTCTGGTTAGCTTTAACTGAAATGGGTTTTATCAAGGGTGGTGGTTGATGTAGTCTTACTTACATTGTGGGCAGGGGGATATCGGCGGCAGAGGGCATAATGAGATGTTTGGGGAACCAAGTGGAGTGATGAACTACCAAGAAGATGGAATGCGACCAAAGAGGTAACATATCAGTTAATTGTTTCTCATGATACAAGTGTATTACAGTGAAACCTCTATAAAAATTAATAATATTGAGACTACACCAAAATTTTATTTTTTATAAATTTAGAGAGATATTAATTTATAGATAAACTAATTGAACCAAAAACTCAATTTGGGACTATAAAATTATATTAAATTATAGAGATATTTAGTGTATATTAATTTATCGAGTATTAATTTATAGATGTTCTACTGTATATGATCTTGTACAAACAAGAATAAAAATATGATAAACACACACATTCACCTTTGGCCGCAGGAGAAGGCCAGTGAGAAGGTAGAGAGATGAGAGTTTGTGTTGATGGACGTGTCATTTACGTTTGGTGGCAGTTTTTTATTTGTTAGCATTTTATTTCGACTTGTATAATGAATGATCTCGTCGTCTCATCTTTTTCTCAATGCAACTACAAATTTAGCGGTTATTTGGCCCAAACTGATGTAAATAGAGAAGCAAAAGTTGGTTGAATTAATACCTTTCATCGAACAAATGCTGGAAACGAGAACTCAGTATTGTTTCTAGTTCATCTTTTGATGATATATTCAGAAAAGATAAAAGTTAATTAATATTCATGGTAACAAATACATCTCAATTCTGCCATACTTATTTCTCTATTAACATCTTCAAAAAACTCTTTATAACTTCAAATATAGAGTTTTTTATTCTTAATTTTTTTTTTCAAATAAAAAGTTTTTTATTCTCCAAAAAGAAGAAACTTCAATTTTGAAGTTTTTTCTTTTATTTGCAACTTGATTCTTATATTTATATATCTTATTTATAATTCTTAACTATTTTCTTATTATCGTTTTTATCTTTTAAAAAAATATATCTCACAAATTTTCAAATTTATTTCTATAAATTAAACTTTACATAGACATTAAATAAAAAATTAAAACAAAATTTATATTATTTGAAAAGTAGAATTAGACAACGAAAATATTACAAAAAAAACTTAATTAAAATTATTTTTTAAAAAGGTACATGAAAACATAATTGTTATAGAAATTTAAATATTACAACACTAATAATCTAGTAAATCTCCTTCAGAAACTCCAAAATCTTCAAATCCAAACAAGATTTTTGTATCCAAAGATGGTTGTTCTTGTTGTTCTTAACTTCTTTTTTGTATGCTTCTTTCTTGTTTAGAACGAATGTACTCATGAGTATTAATATTACCGATTGAAGCTAAGTTTTTTAGTAATATTTTATTTTCCTCTTTTACTTCCTTCAAAGCTAACTTTTTTGCTTTATTTTTCATTCGTAATTCACTCATCTCATGCAACAATTTGTATTAAAATCATCTGACTTTCTTTGTTGCAGCAAAACAAGAAGCATATCAAAAAGATGTTAAATGTGCATTTGTAGTCTTGCAATCGAAGTTTGCTATATAGCAAGATCATCTCGTTACTGGAAAAAAAAAGTATTGTATGATATATTAGAAAGAAAAAATAGTTAGTTCAATTTAAAATGGTGTGTATAATTATGACATGAAAATAGTTAGAAAATACATCTTAGCAAAATATTTTAATTCTTCAGATAGTAACACTCAACCCATAAATATTAAGTTATATATTACAACGTAAAAAATCAAATATAACAAACACATTAATAAATACTACTAAATGAAATGGGTTGAGAACAAATGATGCTAGGGTTATAATAGTAGTCTTAAAATGTTGTTTTCTATGCTCATGATATGTGTTTCCATATGTAAGAGAGAATCATTTGCAATGTTACTAATTATGGAAATTTTATTAACTTCAATTTTAAAACACTGAGCATCTTCTTCAGTTTTCTTTCTAAACAAAGGGTATTTTCCATAAATCTTCTCTTCTTTTTCTATTTCTTTAACCACCCTTTCACTTAATTAACTTTGGTGATAAGTGAAATAAAGGACCAATGAGAGAAGAGCAGTGGCGTTATTTTAACTGGACCCTAGCCAATGAAACCAGCCAATGGGAGATTGAGAGATATGCGACCTCGTAAGAACCGCCTCCTTCGCCATTTGTATCATCTCTCTATAAAATCACATAACCATCAACCTCTCTTTGCATGCAACAAATCACTCATATAATTATTTTATAAAGAACTAAAAAACGGCAGAGAAACAATGGAACGTGGAGCTCCTCTCTCTCACTATCAGCTACCCAAATCCAACTCTGGTAATCAAATAATAAGTGCCTATTTATGTATATACGTGCCTGCACTATACTCACGAAAGAATCAGAAACTTGTTTTGAGATTTTTGTCTTTCAACAAGAACTAGAGATTTTCATGTCTGCTTAACACAATAGAGATTTTTATGTCTTTAAAGCACACTAGATTTCGTAGAAGGTTTGGAGAAGAGTCTACTCACATGCAAGACGCTTATATAGTTATATATGTGCATGCATGAATGAGTTTGATATGTCTACATGTTTATTTGCATATTAGTGTATACATCCAAGCAGGGACCAATCCTTGATTCAACTATTTCGTGATATGGTATATATTAACAACTTTTTAATGGCGGATGGATAGCTCTTTCATATGTTTGTCCATTGACTATAACGGTGCATGCACAAGAAATGTTTTAAGTTTCACTTTCTTTTTCTATATTTTAGATTTGTTGTCTGATTTTTTAAAAGTATAGAGGTGGGAATTGTATGTGTTGTTTAGGTTATCTCCAACTCTACTCTATTTAGAAGAAAAAAATACTCAAATAATATTTTATTTTTACTCTATAATCAACTAAAAAATTAGATTTATTCTGTATATAGAATAATTTGTTTATTTTTGTTCATCATTCTATTTTTTGAATAGAATATCCTTGCAACAACAATCAATTTTATTTTGGAGAAAAAATTAGAGTAAACTATTGGAGAGGTCTTGAGTGACAGACGGAGTCAAAATCTTAAAAACTGTGTGTATTTTCAATTGGAAATATTAATATTCATTTCTTTGGTTTGTTCGCTGTAACGGTTGTTTTTTCGTTTCTAAACGAAATTCTTGTTTGTCCACCCTGATTTTGAAAAATGTTGTCCAATGAATAAATACACTTTTGTTGGGAAAATATGGAAATACACTTTTTAACCAAAATAAATATAAAGACTATTGTAAACTCCTCTATTGAATCTACAAATTCAATTTTGTAGGGGGTTGAAACAGTTTCACCTAATCCTCGTTTTATAAAAATTTGTTTTGTTAATTAGTAAAAGAAATGTTCATTGGTTAACTAAAAACCAAATTTAATTCTTTTTAAGCAATAAAACAAAATTTGAATTGAGAGGCAAGCTAGAAATTTGACAAACAAAATTGGGAATACGCGCTGTACCTATTAAAACATCAAATTTCGAGAAGTGAAAAGATCCTTTTGACTTTTTCGTTCTATAAATATAAACGTAACGTCAAGAATCTGAACAGTCTACATAATGGAACCGGGACCTGTAAACTTATTTCTTATTGGTCCTTAACTACTCACGTGTCTCCACTTAATAGTCCTCGTTTTCAACTATCAAATTTGCATCCTAAAAATATTAGTTTCATTTAGTATTTCAAACAACTTCAATTTATGTAACAGGACTAAACTTGGACCAGCACAGCAACTCAATCCCGACAATGACCGGCTCCATCGGCCCATGCGACGACAAGAACAAGAGTATCTTGCCGCAGCAACAACCATGCATGCCTCGTGAGCAAGACCAATACATGCCAATCGCAAACGTGATAAGGATCATGCGTAGAATCTTACCCCCACACGCCAAAATCTCTGACGACGCCAAAGAAACGATTCAAGAATGCGTCTCCGAGTACATCAGCTTCGTGACTGGAGAAGCTAACGAGCGTTGCCAACGTGAGCAACGTAAGACAATAACTGCTGAAGATATCCTTTGGGCGATGAGTAAGCTTGGGTTTGATGATTACGTTGGACCACTCAACATGTTCATTAACCGGTACCGTGAGTTTGAGACTGATCGTGGGTGTTCACTTAGAGGTGAGTCTTCATCATTTAAACCGGTTTATGGAGGAAATGGTATGGGGTTTCATGGCCCACCTCCACCGGGTCCTTATGGTTATGGTATGTTGGATCAGTCTGTGGTTATGGGTGGTGGTCGGTACTACCAAAATGGATCGGGTCAGGATGGATCCGGTGGTGGTGGTGGTGGATCTTCATCTTCTATGAATGGGATACCAGTTTATGACCCGTATGGTCAGTTTAAATAAAGATGATTATTTTTTTAATTTTCTGCATGTCTATTCAAAACATGTTTTGGATAGTTATTTATGTCTCTATTAAACATATCTATTTGTTGCATCTTAAGAGAAAATATTGACTTTCAAATTTCAATTTCAGTATTTTTGAGAATTAATTTATATAAATGCAAATGAA